GAAGAAGAAGGAAGAAGAAGAAGAAGAGGAGGAGGAGGAAGAGGAGGAAGAGGAGGGAGGAGGAGGAGGGAGGAGGAGGATATGGAGGAGGAGGAGGAAGAGGAGGAAGGAGGAAGAGGAGGAGGGAGAGGAAGAGGAGGAAAGAGAAGAAGGAAGAAGAAGCAGCAGCAGAAGAAGAAAAAGAAGAAGAAGAGGAGGAGAAGGAGGAGGAGGAGGAGAAAAAGAGGAGGAGAAAAAAACCCCCATCTTTAACTAGCTACTGGTAGCTCACACCTGTAATACTAGCTACTCAGAAGCCAGTATTAGGGGCTGTGAATGTGGCTTAATGCTAGAGTGCTTTCCTAGCATGCATGAAGCCCTAGGTTGATTCCTCAGTGTGACATAATCAGAAGCTAGTATTAGCTATTTGTTGAGATTGTCTCCAATTAGCCAGAAAAAAGTCTGGAGGGATGACTCAAGGGGCAGAGCACCAGCCCTGGGCAAACAAACTGAGTGAGCATGAGGCCCTGAGTTCAAATGCTGGTATTGGATAAAAACTAACAAACAAAAAGAGGTAAGACAGACATAAATGTAGACAGACACCATGAAATAGAAATAAACAACTGTGCAAGTGAAACTTTTTGTTTGTCGCCAAACAGTAGAATATTCTGTTAATTTTAGTAATCCTTCAAGTTATGCTATAATTCAATATAAGCTACCTTGTATATGAAAAGAATATTTAAAAGTGCTTTAATAAGACTGCAACCAAGCCACTCCTTCTCAAAGCATTATGAAATATGAATACTTTTAAACACTTTTAAGGAGGTAAGACAAATCATTAAAAATAAATGAACAAATGGGAGCATTTTGAGGCTTAAACATCATAAAAAAAATTTTCCCCTATCTGAAAACCTACATTTTCTCTTAGTATCACATGATGATTAAGATCTATAGTTTCATTTTGTACTCACAAAGCTATTGACTGTGTTTTACACAAAACAAAAAATAGATACAAAGGGCTTACATATTGAGTAATCTGAAAAAACTATTTCTATTAAAGACTTCTGTATACTAACAGTAAAGGAAATATAATAATGGCAGTATGACAGAGAAAAGAAGCTGGGCTCCAGTGGCTTACACCAGTAATGCTAGCTACTCTGGAGGCTGAGATCTGAGGATCACAGTTTGAAGACAGCCCAGGCAGGAAAGTCCATGAGATTCTTATCTCCAATTAACCACCAGAAAACCGGAAGTGGTGCTGTGGCTCAAAGGGTAGAGCACTAACCTTGAGCAAGAGAGATCAGGGACAGCACCTGGGCCCTGAGTTCAAGCCTAATGACTGAAAAGAAAAAAGGAAAGAAAAAGACTGAGAAAAGACATGACACTTATGTTTACTCACTATACTGTCCACTGCTAGTTTGGTAAATTGGAGTTGGCACCGTTACAGTGGTGATGGCAGGGGCTGAAGTCTCCTCTTCAGACTTTTCTTCTTCAATCCTTGGTACTCCTGGTGCATCAGAAGATAGGTCATTCAAAATTTTCCTAGAAAAATAAAGAACTATATTAATTAAACTAAAGGTAAAAATTATTGGCTAAGGCTGGGTGCCAGTGGCTCAAGCCTGTAATCCTAGCTACTCAGGAGGCTAAAATCTGAGGATCATGGTTCAAAGCCAGCCCAGGCAGGAAAGTCCGTGGGACTCTTATCTCCAATAAACCATTAGAAAACCAGAAGTGGTGCTGTGGCTCAAGTGGTAGAGCATGCACCTTGAGCTCAGGCCCAGAGTTCAAGCCCCAATTATTGGCTAAGTTAATAAAGCTGCTAATGCTTAGTATATAAATTTAAAATGTATGAATCATAAAAATAAACTCAAAGAATGAAGAATGTCAAATACAAGGTCTAGAAAGAAAAAAAAGACATGTGAATATAAGTATTTCTTTTTTCTTAAATACAAGGTCTTGCTTTTTAGCCCTGGCTGGCCTGAAATTTTAATGCTTCAGCCTCTCATATACATTCAGCTCTCTATATATGTATTTGTATGCTTATAGAAAACTATAAAAGGGAGATACGTTTCTTTCCATGGATTAGGAAAGAAAAAGTTTTAAAAGCTACCTCTTTAGATCTGGAAACTAATCTATCTAGTTCTCTTTTGTATGACAACTGAAACATGAAGCAAGAAGCCTTTTTTATGCTTTCAAGTTTTTCAAATTATTGTTATACTACCAGGCTAAATCTTCCTGGATACAGTTCACTTTCTCTTAATGTATATACTAGACTGTGGACTCAGCAGTAAGATAAATTCCCTCCTTTAAACTAGACACTATGTTTCTTACTTCAGCCTTACAGAATATTGGCCCTGGGGGCAGGAGGGGACACGGAGGCAGCCACACCATATTAGTAATAACTTAAAGAATATAAGTATCTTCTTTAAAATATTCTTAAGTTAAGGTTGAACATGTAGTTTCATTTCATGATCAATTCTGAAAATTTTACACAACCATTCTTGTTTCATCCTATTGTCTTTGGCTGCTATGATCTTTCAAAGTTTTTATCCTCTTATATCTTGAGGAACTTATAAACCTGTCATTTGTAAATTTACTATGCACAGCTTCTACATTTTTTAGCTAAACTGTACTTTTCAAGGATTTCTTCTGGATATAAAATGCTACAGAGATAAGAATGTTTCAATTAAAATCTATCTCTAATTGATGGATCATCAATTAGTGTTTTTAGCTTCAGCCTTGCATGTTAAGCACTTGGCTATAATCAAAATATGGAGGCTAGGTTATAAGAATTCAAAAAATTAAAATAATGATACCCAATAAGAAAGTTGGATTATAAGAGCAGGAATAGTATTCTCAACACATCTGGTCTCATGATACCTTTCATTTGACTATTAAATATCATTTTAACTTGTAATTATTAACTTGTTAATTATTAATCTATCACTATTAAATGACTGTTTCTAGGTAAGTCAAATAAGGTTAAGAATTTTTTTTCAAAACAAAGCTTTAGCCTCAAAGATGTTACATACTAACATGAGATATATTTCAAAGTTAAAATCTACCAAGAGGCTCAGGGACAGTGCCTAGGCCCTGAGTCCAAGCCCCACAACTGACAAAAAAAAACCCCAAAAACTCCTAATACTAATTATATCTAAAACAAAATTATGAAGGCACTAGTAACATAAAATTTCTTAAGACCTCAAAAATCAATTTGTTGATAGAAATTCAGAATCGTTAAGTTGTGAAGCTAAATCTTATTAAGCTTAGCAGTAAATATGTATGTGTTTGTGTGAGATCACCATCCCTTAAAAAATATGAATATAGCCAGGCGCTGGTGGCCACGCTGATGGCCACACTGAGATCTGAGGATAATGGTTCAAAGCCAGTGTGGTCAGGAAAGTCCATGAGACGGTTATCCCAATTAGCCATCAGAAAATTGGAACTGGAGCTGTGGTTCATGTAAAGCATGAACTTGAGAGAAAAAGCTCAGGGACACTGCTCAGGCCCTGTGTCAAGCCCCATAACTGGCAAAACAAACGAACAAACAACAATAAAAAACACATGAAATAGTTTTTTCAGGCTAATGAGGAAAAGAAACGTAACTGTGAGACTCTGAAATTAACCTTTTTAAGTACTATTTAATGTCAGTGTCAGTTTGTGGGTACAACATCACTCACTTCTTTCATCATTCTCCTCATCTTTCCCACCTACCCTCAATTTACTTAGTTCCATTTTCACATATATACACTGAATATGACTGCATTAAACTTCTTCTGTCCATGTGTCTAGCTTCCTCCCCTTGGCCTCATGCCCCAACTCTCACAACATTCCAGCTTCCAGGTATTCATTCTATTGTTCAAAGTAATAATACCCCTGGAATCCTTCCCTGTATATAGTTTTAGTTATATGTTTGTGTATATATGCATGACACCCTATATGTTTTTTTTGATATAGTTAAAATTCCATTCTGTCTACCTAACTACATACTCATCCCATCCCTCCCTCCCATATTTTCTTAATCCATTTTTTTCAATTTCCATTACCTTGTGTATATTTCTTTTTTATATTTAAAAATTTTTTATTTATTTTTAATTGTGAAAATACTGTACAGAGGGGTTACAATTACATGGGCAATATAATGAGTACATTTCTTATCAAGCATTGTAGCCTCCTCCTTTGTTTCCCCTTCCCATCCCTTCCCAACTCCCACCCACCCTCCCCCAACCCTCTAGGCCAGTGTTGCAAAGTTCGATTTTCGATAAAATGACTTATACATTTCATTGTTCCAATGGGTCCACCTGAATCCCTATTTAAACGATTTGTTTTTGTCCTTCCCTCCACAAATTATACCAACATCAAATACAGTGAAAGCAGGGGTTATACCGTGGGGGAGGGACATACAAAGCAACAAAGAAATCATCTTATAAATATGTTAGAAACAATTGCATGAAAGAAAAAAAGGGGAACTTAACTGCATTGTTGGTGGGAGTGTAAACTTGTTCAACCACTTTGGAAAGTAGTATAGAGCTCCCTTATGACCCAGCAATCCCACTTTTGGGCATTTACCCAAATGATCATAAACATGACCATACTAAAGCTACCAGCACAACTATGTTTATTGCAGCATTATTTACCATAGCTAAGATATGGAACCAACCCAGATGCCCCTCAGTAGATGAATGGATCAAGAAAATGTGGTATATATACATAATGGAATTCTATGCCTCCATCAGAAAGAATGGTATTGCCCCATTTGTTAGGAAATGGAAAGATTTGGAAAAAATTGTATTAAGTGAAGTAAGCCAGGCCCAAAGAAACATAGGTCCCATGGTTTCCCTTATTTGCAATAACTAGTATATGTCTGAGACAAGCAGAAATGGTCAGATAAGTTGATGTTAGGTGAAATGAACGCCAGATAAGTATTCAAATGTTTTTTCTTTCATGCAATTGTTTCTTAATCCATTTGTCTACTGGAGGGCATCTGGGCTGTTTCTCTCACTTGGCTATAGTGAATAGTACAGCAGTGATCATGAGTGTGCAAATGTCTTTACTGTATCCTGACTTGTAATCTTTAGGATAAATATCCAAAATGTGATAGAATCTCAGTGTTGTTTTGATTTATATATCTTTTATGAGATGAAGGATTTATGTATCTACTGACCAGGTTTACTTCTTCTGTTAAGTTTCTATTTAGGTCCTTTGACCATTTATTAATTGAATTATTATTTGAAAATTTAGTTTCTTGAGCTCTTTGTATGTTCATGATATTAGACCCTTGTCAGATAAAGATCTTCTTCCTTCTGTGTTTTTAGCTTAGTAACCATGTCCTTTACTGTGAAGAAACTTTTTTTTTTGTTCTGATCCTGGGGCTTGAAATCAGGGTCTGGGCACTGTTCTTAAGTGTTTTTGCTCAAGTCTAGCATTTGATTAATTGAGCCATGGCTCCACTTCTGGCTTTTTTTTTTTCCTTTTCTTTTTTTGGTGGTTAATTGCAGCTAAGAGTCTCACACCTTTCCTACCCTGGCTGTCTTCAAAATGTGATCCTCAGATCATTTTTCAACTTCCTGAATAGTTAGGGATTACAGGAGTGAGCCACCAATGCCCTGTTTTGCAGAAACTTTTTCTTTTGGGGGGGGGGTCCACTCGTGGGGCCTGAACTCTGGGCCTGGGTGCTGTCCCTCAGCTCTTCAGCTCAAGGCTAGCACTCTACCACTTGAGCCACAGCGCCACTTCCGGCTTTCTTCTTTTTGCTTATGTGGTGCTGAGGAATCGAACCCAGGGCCTCATGCATGCAAGGCAAGTGCTCTACCACTGAGCCACCTTCCCAGACCTTGCAGAAACTTTTTTAACATGATGTAATCCCATTTGACAATTCTGTCTCCAATTTGCTGAGTCCCTGGAAGTCTACACAGAAAGTTCCTGCTTATGCCAATAAGTTCTAGTGTTTCCTCTACTCCTCTGAGTACGGAATTAAGCTCTGAAGTAAATTAATCAAGATTTGTGCAATTACCTTGCCTGGATATAGTTAATATGAGCTAACTTCTGTGAAAAATAAATGGCTTTAGCATCCTGGATGCGATTCAGGATGTAGGCAACCTCCACAGCTGAAGACAAACTACAGAAAGGTGTCCTTAAGTACTAGAGCATGAGAACAAAGCACCACTCAAAAACAACTACTAAATTAATATAAACCATAATTTGCTAAGTAGCATGGTATAAAAAAATGATATATAAACATGAGTAGATAAATACCACAGACTCTGAACTAATATATAACTAGAAAATGGTATAACCTATCAGATTTGTTCCAAATATTTTAACAATAAAAAAGTGTTTTTATCCAGAACTTGAGTAAGAAGTGGTCTCATTCTGTACGACAAGCTTCAATTTATTTTAGAGAAGTAACTCAAGAAATACAGGAAAAAAATCTATTAGGTTTGAAAAGCTTGTTCTTTTTCTGATATCTGTATCTACTACTATCAAAGGCTTCTTGTACATTTAAAATTTTTTTCTTTTAAGCTGCTTTTTAAAAATTTTAAATTGTTATTATGAAGGTGATACAGAGGGGTTACAGTTACATAAGTCAAATAATGAGTATATTCCTTTTTGGACAATGTCCCCATTCCCTTACTTTCTTAGTTTTTCTCTCCTGTCCCCATATATATTTTTATTTTAGCTATTAAAACTCCTTACCTGTAGGAAGGCCTCCTTGAAAGAATTTCCCTTCGTTTTTGAGAATCAGTTACACTATCCACTGATTCCTGTGAATCTTCGCTTTCTGCAATAGTTGAAATCTGAAAATAAAGAAGAACTTTTATCTTGGCAACTAAATTTAGTTCCCATCAAATTTTATGAACCTCAAGAAAGTCAAATACGAATGATTATATATAAACCATTTATATGCTTCAGTTTTAAATGGGAGACAACTACTTAGGCAGCTAGTCACTCTGCACCCCTTTTCTTAAGCTACATTAAGTATGAATTAAGATGAAGTCAAAGAAAATGAAAACCTTTGCCCTGAAACATTTGTCTTTAAATTCAGAACTCCGTTTAGCCTATCCTGAATGCATTAGTATTGTCAGTTTTTTCCTCCGATTTTTTTAGAACAAAATTGCCAACTAAAATGGGGTTTAACATTGAAAAAGAACAAATGACCAAGAATATGGTCCTAAATCTATGTAGTGACTATGTAAGTACTTTCTTTTAATTATTCTGCAAATATTTCTAAATTTACAAGTGCACAATTAAGATCAGAGCTGCCCCACCACATTCTAGGCAGTTGTTTTAGGCAAGTTAGTAAGAAGTTCACTATTATATATAGACATATTAATAAGTTAGCATTCTGCAGTTTTATTCTGATTGGCAGGTTTTGGAGCCTGAACTCAGCTTGGGTACTGTCACTGTTTTTTTGTTTTTGTTTTTTTTCTTTGCGTAAGGCTAGCACTTTGCCACTTGGAGACACAGCTCCACTTCTGGCTTTTTAAGCAGCTAACTGGAGTTAAGAATCTCACTTTCCTTACTGGGCTGGCTTTGAACTGCAATCCTAAAATCTCAGCTTCCTGAGTAGGTAGGATTACAGGTATGAGCACCAGAACCTAGCCTCTACAGTTATTTTTAAGCCAACATTCCAGGTGAAGAACTATGTGTTTTTGGTAAGCATTCTTAGATTCACAGATAATGAATGTAAGTGAATAAAAGTTCCATGTGGCATAACAGAAATGAGAATTCACAGATTACTATGTGCCAGTTGCTATGTACTCACATAAGTATATGTAACACCAGTTACCAATGGGTGCTATTAGAATTATATCTATTTTATAAATAGAAGATATAGTGGCAATAAAGATCCTCAAATGTATTTTGTACGTACTGCTAGCCTCATTATTTGTCGACATAATTAGACTAGATGCTAGGCATGTTTATATGCTCATGTCTCATGTCTACAATCTCTGCTACTCAAGAGGCTGAGATCTGAGGATCTTGTTTGAACACAGCCTAAATCTGAGACCTTATTCCAATTAATCAGCACAAAGCCAGAAGTAGAGGCTGGCTTAAGTGGGAGAGTGCTAACCTTGAAAGAGCACAAGGGCCAAAATTCAAGCCCCAGCATAGCATATGCACGCATACTTGTACACACGCACGTACCCATGCATATAAATAATAAGATCTGTATTTTATAACTTTATTGTTTAAATCCATACTTTCTTTTACTATGAAGAAAAAAAAGATCCTTTCATTTACTGTTGGAGGTCCCATATAATAATTCTATATAATGACTAAAAAATAAATCAAAGTAATGATGTAATATTCCTAAATGTTTTTAAAACTATCCTCCAAAGCTTAAGTACTTTATATAGCTAAGTTGAAACTCATGGCTTAGATAGTTTTTACTCACTGGATCAAGGAACCTTAGTAAGAGCCTAGGATGTTGATCTTCAAGCTCTTGATCTGCAAATCTACCAGTATATGTATATATGTATATGTTTATTTATGTATAATTTCACATAGGCATATATACTTCTTTTTTTTTTTTTTTTGTTCAGTCGTGGGGCCTGAACTCTGGGCCTGGGCACTGTCCCTCAGCTCTTCAGCTCAAGGCTAGCACTCTACCATTTGAGCCACAGCGCCACTTCCGGCTTTTTTCTTTTTGCTTATGTGGTGCTGAGGAATCAAACACAGGGCCCCAGGTATGCAAGGCAAGCACTCTACCACTGAGCCATCTTCCCAGCCCTGCATATATACTTCTTATTTGGGGTGGGGGTGGTGTGTGTGTGTTGGTCCTGGGCCTTCAATTCAGGGCCGGAGTACTGTCCCTGAGCTTTTTTCCAATCAAGGTTTGCATTCTAACACTTGAGCCACAGCTCCATTTCTGGCTTTTTCATTGTTAATTGAAGATTGGAGTCTCATAGACTGTCCGGGTTGATCTAGCTTTGAACTGCAATCCTCAGATCTCAGCCTGAGTAGCGAAAATTACATGTGTGAGTCACTGGCACCCAACTTAATTGTACATTTTAAGTGTTATTTAATTTGTTGCTCATCAAGAGTTCTTTAAGATAGGTTAAGTATAAATACTAATTCTAATTTCCTAAAGATAAATTATGTAACTTTTTGCTAATAAACTGATGTGACTAAATATGCTTCACTAAAAAGTCATTTAATGTCTTTTAAAGTGATATGGGTCTAGGCTTAGGTTTAGGAAATGTGATTTAATAAGTTGGTTACTGCATGCTGGTAGGAAGGCCTTACAATTTCATGTGTATGTACATGTATATGTGTGTACAGGTGTATGTGTATATATGTATGAATGTTTGGTGGTACTGGGATTTGAACCCAAGGCCTTACACTTGTTTAATTGCTCTGCTGGTGCTCTACCAATTAAGCTATGCCTCCAGCCCTGCTTTTCACTCGTTATTTTGGAGCAGTCTCACAGACTTTTTTACCCATTGGTCTTGGTGATCCTCATCTGTAATCCTGGATTACAGATGTGAGCTACCTGTAGTTGATATAATTTTTTTTTTTTTTTGTTTTGAACCATGATCCTCAGATCTCAGCCTCCTGAGTAAGTAGGATTACAGGTGTGAGCCACTGGTGCCTGGCCAGTTTCACACTTTTTAACCAATAAATTCAGTACCTACTGAAACTTAGACTTCCAAACAGTCTCGAAGCTTTTTAAAAATTCTGAGGCATAGCTGTGGGCTACCGACTCTTGCTTATAATCTTAGTTACTCAGGTGGCTTGAGACTTGAAAACTGAGGTTTAAAACGAATTTCAACAAACATATCCATGAGACTCTCATCTCCAACTAGAAAAAGCCAGAAGAGAAGGCTTGGTTCAAGTGATAAATACCAGCTATGAGTAAAAAAGCCAAATAAGAATGAAAGAGTTTAAGCCTAAGTGTGCACACACATACACACACACACACACACACACACGCACACACATACACTTAATACTTTTGGGAAGACAAACCTACATTATCCCTAGAGGGAGGAAAATATGAAATCATTTTCAAATTTGTATTGCCAAATTTTCTCTCCAAAGTGTATGTTTTTTTTTCAAGAAACAATACTCTCATTTGTAGTTAAAATAGTACTTTTTCTGAAATGGGATAGTTCAAATGGATTTCTTTTTTCAAACATCTGTTAGGTAAAATACATCTTCCAAGCCCTTGCTTCCCAGGCATCATTAAGGTCAGAAACATGCCTATATGTTAAACAATAAACACCGTGAAGTTAGGAAACTGTTAAATATTTTACTGTAGTATAATTACAGAGTCTGTGTGTCATACAAGGTTTTTACTGCTATCCCCATCATATTACAAAGCACCAGAAGGCTCATCTTCAGCTGCTGCCAGAGGCTCAAACATGTAATTTTAATTACTCAAGAAGCTGAGACCCAGAAGACCTTTTAGTGCCAGTCCTGGCAGAAAACCCTTGAAATTCCATCCCCAATTAAACAGGAAAAAGCAGAGCTGGAGGTATGGCTCAAGTAGTAGACCACCAGTGGTGGGCAAGCAAGCCCAGTGAATACAAGATGCGATGAAGGCACAATACTGGCAGCAAAACAACATAAAATCTCATCTCCAATCACTCTGCTTGTTTATTCTATTCTATCAACACCCTGCTATTTCCTTATATCATGGAATCCCAATCATCCTCATTTCCAAACCTTGATAGCTTTCACTATCTGGTCTCTGCTCATCATTTCCCCAACCATCTTATATAAAATAAGCACTTTTCCCTTTGCACCTTTCTCTACCCTTTACCCCTGTTTTATTAATCTCTTCAGCACTTATCCTCACCTGACATATTTTATTTTTTTCATAGTCTGTCTCTCTTCACTCAATGTGATCTTCAAGAGAAATAGATGTATGGTTTGTTCACTGCTGTCTTTGATAGCACCTAGAACAATGACTGGTACATAGCATGTGATCAATAAGCATTTGTTGTAGAGATGAAATGTAATAATTTAAAGTAATATTATCTATAAATCACCTGCCTGGTACATTTAAACTACATTGTATTAAAATGTGGCCACAACTAATAAATAAAAATGAGGATGGCACCCTCAACCCCTAAATACTGTGTAATCCTCAACATTTTTATAAGGATTTTCACATAATCTTTGAGAATATACGTATGTAACAATGTTAGAGCACCAAAGCCATGCTGTACATGAAATAAGTACAGCTTAGTTTCTTATTTTTAGATTGCAATATATAAACAGGAGTATCTTAATTCTCCCATCATGAAATGTACTTTGTGTATTTGAAGCCTTGTTATATAATAATAATGTTCTTCTTTTTTTTTGGTCGGTCGTGGGGCTTGAACTCTGGGCCTGGGTGCTGTCCCTCAGCTCTTCAGCTCAAGGCGAGCGCTCTACCACTTGAGCTACAACGCCACTTCCCGTTTTCTGATGGTTTATTGGAGATAGGAGTCTCATGGTCTCTCCTGCCCGGGCTGGCTTTGAACCGCGATCCTTAGATCTCAGCCTCCTGAGTAGCTAGGATTACAGGCGTGAGCCACCAGCGCCCGGCTTAATGTTCTTCTATGTAGAAGTTTGAGGAACAATTCCACACCTTGTTGATCACATCTTCTGATGTAAACTACTTCCTATCTATTAATATGAGTCACTGTTAGCCAGCTAAAGTGACCAGTAAAAGTTTAGTAGATTCTGTACAGCTTAGGCCCTTTAAAAGAAAAAAGTCCACATGTATATTTGTATCTATTTATAGAATTAAGGCTTTAAGAAGTCTAACTTTTCTTCTGCAAACTTACATGTTGTAAATTATAAGCATAGATTATCTTAATGGAAAATCTGTTTTTTAAAGATAAATATATATTTCTATAAAGGAATTACGTCAAAATTATGTTCCAAAATATGAACATAATAAACAATGAACATTATTATTCCCCCATTGTAATCTCTATAGACTATGTAACTTTTTTTTTTTTAATGGAAGAAAACCTATGTCTTTAAGTAAAATAGAAAGTAAAGGTTGACATGCCCAAGAGCATCTGACTTATTACTATCCAAATAGGTCAGAATCTAGGTCTCCTCCCTGGCAGGTCAAGATCTTTCCACTATGATCAAGAAAAGAATGTGAGAACATGGAAAACAGTAAGGTAGCCTTCAATGAGATAAAAAACTAAGTAAGGCAAAGAACTACTTCTGAGTGATTACGAGGCCACAGAAATTCTTGGCTTTTAATTTGGTAACACTATCAACTACTTGTTAACAAAATCCATTCCAAGAGCTTCTGGAAATTTACCCAACTTGATTTCACATGAAAACACTGTCTTTCCCAAGCCAAAGCAGAAGGACTAAATGAAGCAGAGGAGATCAACAGTTCAATAAATTGATACTAGCTAACAACATCTTCACATATCTTTTGATAACATTAATAGAATGCTTATAGGACAAAGGAAACACATCGCCCCTCTACAGAGATCTATCATTTTTGGCTATCATACTGAAAGAAAACATTTCTCACCCAGAAAAAGGCAATTAGGATGGCAAAGAAGAATCAAAGGTATAACCTATTATAAAAGACTGAAGAAAACTAGGACTTTGTTGAGTCTGCAAATTTTCTTAAACATAGAGTATGAGGAAGAGGAAGTAATTTGACAGAAAAGGAATAAGACTTTCTAGTTTCTGAGGCAAAAGTGCAACTGCCAAGTAAAAAAAAGTTAGAATGAGCCAGGCACCGGTGGCTCACGCCTGTAATCCTAGCTACTCGGGAGGCTGAGATCTGAGGATCACAGTTCAAAGCCAGCCCAGGCAGGAAAGGCCGTGAGACTTATTTCCTAAACCACTAGAAACCCTGAAGTGGTGCTGTGGCTCAAGTGATAGAGTGCTCGCCTTGAGCTGAAGAGTGCAGACATAGCGCCCAAGCCCAGAGTTCAAGCCCCATGACCGACAAAACAAAACAAAACAAAAAGTTAGAATGATATATTCTAGCTCAGGAAACAATATTTTAGCAGTCATCCCTTATTCTAAACAGAACACTTCTAGAGAGAGGCAGTCACTTTCTCTGAAACTGATCAAGTAAACATTGGACTATCATTTGGAGATAAAATGTTATAATGGGGAATTAAGCAATATATCAAGGGCTGGGTGGTAACAAGTTCGGCCTAGACCTAAAAGACCTCTAAGGCTTTTATTCAGATCTTGAAATTTCATGTTGATAGAGTAGGGCAAAGACAAAGAATAATTTCTCACCTTCCTTTCTACTAAAGGTTCTCTTCAAATCTAGGACCTAAGACTCACCTGAGTTCCAGAGAAAAGTCTTTTTAAGTCCTTATTGGAAGACTGTGAAGCAAAAAATATGAAATAGAGTGGCTGAGGTTATGGCCTACTCTCTCTCTTTCCCTCATCCCTCTCTCAATAAGCTCAGTTGCAAAGATCTGTATGTTCTTGGTTCCCTTCAGTTGAGTAGTTGCCTTCAGAGGTTTAGTGTACCTTTATGCCTTTTGGATCCAAATGAAAGGAACAAACTTTCCAAAGAATAACACGTATAGTATAGTCAATGACCTAAGATGTACCTTCTGAATATATTATTATTTCAAAACTATATACTGTAATGGAAAGCCCTACAAGTCAATATCAAATATGTTCAGGTAAAGTTAATTCATTGTTTATCAAGTGTTTTCCAGTCAAAAGCAGGTTTAGAAAAGAATTATAAAAATTCTATTTTTGTATCTGAATTTTCCTTAGCTGAAGTACATTGGTGCCTTATAGTCTCTCCCAAACATTTCCACTTTCATTTACTTAACTCTTCAAATGACTTCCATCTTCTGTAGCTTAGGAAAAGTCATTATCTTTGTGCGTTGTTGGATGTGTATACCCCTATATATAAGATCATAATACAGATGAAACATATTCCTTTTCTATGAAGTAAAATTCTCTGAACTAAATATTTTAATAACAACGAAAATAAGACAAGTAATTATACACAAATTACAAATGTATATGCATAATTTTTCACACATACCTGAACTGTCTGGACTTGTGGAGACTGAATAACTGATGGCTGGGCCGCCTGAATAACTCCATGGACTTGAACTGTCTGCCCATTGGGCAGCTGTACTAAAGTTACAGTGGGAGCAGATGATGTTGCATGAGCTGCTGGCATTGATACCTATGGTGTTGAACATGGGAAAAAAAAATTACCATCACAGATACCTTGACTACTCAGGTTCAATATGAAGTAACTTTGTAAAAGCAAACTGGTGAATTTTCTGCTAGGTAAGCTTTTCATTAATTCAAAAAAAAGATTATATTTAATATTCTTGATATAACCGCCTCCCCTCCCTAACGAATCCCAAGTATGTTTTATTATAGTATTGAAAATATAGAATGATGCTTTACATTTTCCTATTTTTATATTTGATTTTTTTCTTATTTTGTTCTTTAAAGAAATTAAAGATTGAGTAATAAGGACTAGCTTCATTTTAAAGTAAAAAATAACTGTTCAAAGAGTAATTTATGTAAGGTCAACAGATATGCTGGCCTTGAAGAAACATAAAAGTCTTAAGAATATGTGTCCAAATAAGCCATGTTCTAAAATCTTGATTGCTCTTAAACTTAGGGAATAATTAGTTACTAAGTTACATCTTACAGTTTCCAGCTTCATTTCCTCTATCTTAATTACAAGTATTCTTCCTCATTAATGATTAAGTATTAATATAAATTAAAGTGAAAAAAATTCAATTCCTCCCATCCTCAAAAATTGTAAAACTGGTAACAGCTGGGTTTTAAGATCTTTTCATTTTGAATGTACAAAGGGGCAGAACTGAAAGAATAAGAGAAACCCACTGTTTCCTGAAGCAGAAAGAAGGCAACTTTAATGAGTTACTATCCAAATTTTAAGGGCTCTTATGTCATACATGTTAATCAGGTGGCAATTATTTTTCCTATACTCCACTACATTCAGGTAGGCATTCTATTTGCTCATTTGGTAAACAGTTATCAAGACCTTTTTGCCAGGAACAATGTTTGAACAAACCCCACCAAAATAAGAAAAATATGGACCCCTAATCATAAATTATTTGCATGCATGCATGAAGAAATGGGGAAAAGAGATACTAGTAAATGTAATTCAAATGTATTGATGAGGTTTGCTAGTAGGCAAATGGACATTATTTTAGTGATTAAAAAAATCTTATTAGTAGTTATATAAAGAGGACAAACTGCAGACAACTACCCAACTCAACCCAAGCACAGAAGAGGCTACAAGAATATTCATTTGAAGAATATGTTAGGTTTCTTCTTCTTATGACTTGGGAAAAGGAGAGGCAAAAAACTTGAGGCAGAGATGATAATACTGACAATGGCAAAGAGAAATAGTATAGATTATACATAGTATAAATAGTTCAGTACTATTCAGAAGTAGTTCAGTAGTACTAGAACACGTAAGTTTGTTACTGTATGATTGGAAAGTAAGAAAGACACAGAAACAGAAGTGGGAAGGGACCAAATAAACTCCTCATAAAAACACGTGAGTTTAAGGCAACTTTTACACCTTGAGAGTACTGAGGAAACCATTAAGGACTTTAAACTCCTAAATTTCTTGTTGAGTTTGCATTTCAGGTAGACCACTTTAGTGGTAACATGATAGACATATATAATGTGGGGAGAAAAACTGGAGGTGGAGATAGCATGAAAAACCCCTATGCAACAGTTACGGTAAGATGATGATAGCCATAAATGGACTAGTAGTGTGTAGGTATGGGGATTACAGAAGTGACTTTATGAAAATGTGAAGGCAGAACAAATTTTATGAATGATTAGCTGAAGGAGGGAAGAGAGGAATCAAAATGAAAAAAAATGGATAAATTACTTGATTAACTGAAATAGAAAATGTTAAGGATAAGGTTTTGAGTGGTTGGAGTTGTAGTGGATGACTTGAATTTACAGATATATTCAAGCATGCACTTAAACATTTTACTCTAGAGTCTGAGGCAAAGATCTTACTGAGTGTAGTCTTTTGCACACAGATTAAAACCAGGAGTTTCTATCTCTGGATAGTTAGAAAGCCTTCAAACACTCCCTTATTAATCACATACTGTCTGGCTTCTTTTAAGTCTTATTTAGTTTTAACTAGTTCTCAAAACTACCTGCAATGGAGTCAAAGGGTACCTGTGTGCAAATTCAGAATCTAAGAGGAACAGAGGATATTTCCCCCTAAAGTTTATAAAGTAGAGATAATACAAGTGGAAAATAATTTTTAAAAATTCTTTGTATATCTACCACAATCAAGAGTCCTTATTACATTTTTGTTGTAGCTTATCTAGGTTTTGTTGTTTTGTTTGGGGCCATACTAAGGTTTTAACTCAGGGTCATGTACTTGCTAGAAAAGAACTCTATCAATTGAACCATACCATCAGCCCATCTAGTTGTTTTTCAAACCACAAAGGGACACACAATTTTTTACAATACATTACCATGGTCATTTTATCTTTAACTTTATTATAGTTTCTTTCCATACTATTAATAGTATTATTTCATGGTTTTAATGGCTGTATAATGGCTATAAAAGTACAAAATTTAATAATTCCCCTATTATTAGATACCTAGGTGTTCAAATTTGCATGAGAACTGTAATAAACTTTATATGCTCATAGTCTTCTTCAAACTGTAAAAGTAAAGCATCATACTTATACTGACATTTTCTTTTACTCTAAAGACTAAAGGTGTCTTTTTTCCTACTCATTGACCAAATCACCACCATCTTGAGTTTGTCTGGAAATTTTATTGTATTTTCCTAGTCTTTAGCTATTGACATTAAGAAGTAATCAAAATCAGAATGATAGGCAATTAAACCAAAAACTCTGATATATTTAAGGGACTTGGATGAGTAAGTAAAGAAAAAGAAAACACTTTACTAGAGAATAAAAGGAATTGAAAATTTATGAATGAGGCACCTACTGGCTTTCCTAAAAACTCACATTTAATTACTGCATGCCACTGTTAAGGTTTCAATACTAGTATGCTGTCTGATAAAGCAAGGTGACCATGTGCATATCAATTTTGTTCCTAATTTAATCCTCAATTAAACCTCACAAAATCAATTTCATTTTTATAGGCATAATTACACAAATACAGGAGAATGGAAAAGTGGTAAAAATAGTAGAATTTTGGAGGCTGGAAAGCAGATGAATGAATGGTAATGAACTGGAAAGAAATCAGAAGGCCAACTTATGAGCTTCAGGCAGGAAAAGACTGATTTGAACCATTAAAATCAAGAGGCCCAGGATTTATACCACCTCTAGGAGGCAGAGTGAAAAGAAAGGGTGGTTGAAAGCTCTTTAAAAAGCAGCTGAATCCTCTCTCCATTCCCTATAGAAGAACAAACAGTCCGCCTTACTCACAGAAAAATAGAAATTTACTTTGGACCAAGGGTTTCTTAACTGCCTCATATCAGAAAATACTACAGGTGGCTCTAGCCCTCTTCTTTCATTTGGCTTCGAGGCTTTATCCTTGTAAGCAGGGCTTTAGTGAAAGTTATGGGCTACCATATCAATTGCAAGATCTAAGAGATAGTGACAGTAGCACCACCATAATCACCCTACAGTGATGCTCAGGGTTCATAACCAAACATACTTACAGCTTCCAAATATATCTTCTTAGTCCCTTACATTTATTGATTGCTGAGGAGTGAGGATACTATTACTGAGTTACACTCTCTCCCCATTTTAACCCTATAGAGACAATCACAAATCACCAAATATTTGAGAAAAGTCTCTAACATGAAAGATGACAATCAAAACAATGAAAATGGGTCAGGGAGACATGAAAAAAATCTACATGAGAAGAAAGTTGAAATAGTCTAATATTCTCAGACACAAAATAAAAGCATTTCTTTGTGAAACACAGGATATTATTAAAACCTAAAGGGACTATTCAGAAAATAAGTGGAACTCTTTAAAAACATGATAGCAGAAATAAAAAATTCAAAAGATGGACTAGAATATGTCAAGGATAACTTGTAGAAAGTGAGAGCAAAAAATGAAAAGTAGGAAAGAATAGATGAGGAAATGAGAAAAACAGATCTAGAGATATAAATAACATTTGGATTACAAGGTTCCTACAGAGAAATGAAAGGAAAGTGTTTTCCAGAATTGAAGATATGTTTCCACTATAAAAAGACTTTTGAATAAACACAGAAAACCAATCCAATTTGCCATGCCCATAGTATCAAAGTTTTGAAGTACTGTGATGAAAGATTTTTATAAGACACCACAGATACAAAATAAGGAATTTGAACTTTAAAAATTGGTTGTGGATCAACGCTTTCAAAATTTATGACAAAAAATCCTTTACCAAGAATTCTTTACCCTAGTTAAACATTCTTAAACAAACAAAAAAACTATTGCATCTATATGCTTTTCTGCATCAGGAATACAGAGTCAACAAGAAACTGTCATTAGGTAAAAGGAATTTCCAGGATGGCTATATAGCAGACTGTGACATAATATTGTGATCAAACAGAGGTATGTCTTGAGTATTGTTATCACCTAGCTGCCTATTACCACTGTTATCTTTTTATCAAAGGGTGAGTCCAGATTCTCATTTGTTATCTTGAACCCATATGAGTAATTCCTAACTCCTGACATAACAGTGTATATTCACTTATCTCTAAATGTATTTAGCTTTCTTTTATAAGAGGACTGGTAAAGAAGTGTTAATGGGAGAAAACAGAGCAATCCACTCCTTCTGACTATTATTCTGGCTGGGATATCAGTATCTGGTCCATATTTGAGCTCAGCTAGACTTCTTTGTTTTTTTTTGGTCGGTCGTGGGGCTTGAACTCTGGGCCTGGGCACTGTCCCTGTGCTCTTCAGCTCAAGGCGAGCGCTCTACCGCTTGAGCCACAGCGCCACTTCCTCAGCTAGACTTCTACCCTGACTATTCCCCAACTCGTTCTTGCTCAGTGATTTCCCCAGAAACTCTTAAACTCTTGGAAAAACTGTAGCTAGATATAACACAGATTCTTCTAGGATTATTTCTGTTTGGGGTATTCATCTTAAAGAGGAAATATTACATTTTACCAAGTAATTTTATATTTCCTATGTTTTTATATTAACCATCTTTTCACTTATATTCAGATGAAGTTCTTAATAAGAGAAAAATATGTGAGAACAAGAAGATTCAGAACATATATTCTTAAAAATAGGATGTTTAAAGTAATAAATCAAAACTACATTTAGCATATACAAGCAAAACTATGATCCTTATTCTTGCATTTAAATGCAAATACTTATTTTTTAGTGTAAACTGTAAATTTAGCACTTTAAATTATGTGTCCCAAAACTAAGCTATATGAACAAAGTATAGTCAAAGTTCTATCCCCTTGCTTGAGAACCAATTTAACAGGTAAAAGTGTAATTATTTCTGGATCATGTAACTACAAGTACTATATTAGTATTTAGTGATATTCACTATGTTACTAAATACTACTATTTCTAAACACAGACTAAAAGAGTTTGATAACCTAGGAATATTTCCACTCATTCTGTATCCCTCTGTAATCCTAATTTTTCTTGGAAACATATTCCTCTTGGAAGAGACACAGCTTGGGATCTCTTCATATGTTTATACCTGGGCTAATGTGGCAATCTGTGGCTGGGCTTGAACTGTCATTTGTTGGTTTTCAGCTTCTGTTACAGCTGCATCTCCACTCTGCTGGTTCTCTGCTCCAGATTCCATGGTCATTTAGTTACCTATAATCATATGGAAGAGTGTTACAAGCACTACAGTGCTTTGTATTTTTCTGACTTGAAAGGCAAATTTCAAGTTATATATAGGTTTATGTTGTGGTTAGGTAGGATATGCACTTCGGTATCTAGTTAAATACAATGTTGTTGACTTATTACCAAACTTACTAAAACAAAACAAAACCTATTTCCCTTTGGCTAAATTTTCCAAATGGGTTATTATTACATCTGGAAACAAAAGGGATTCTTCTTTCCCACTAATTCCCAGTACTAACAAGTGAGGAACAGTGGCAGCAAAAATTGTGATTTTTCTAAACTTTATCAACCAAGTATAGAATGTGCCAATATTGGTTTCATATAGGTGAAATACTGGTTTCATATTCCCCACTAAGTTATTTTGAAACAAAGAAATTATAAGTTACTGATTATTGGAAATAGGACAAAATAAGCCCAAGTTTCAAGAGTCCAATTTGTGAGATATTAAGGTAGAAAGGTGGACTAAATGACCACAGAGCCAAATTAGGGGCCCCTAATAATGAAAAAAGTTGTGGCATTTGGACATCTCAGTTTGTACAGTATATAGTAACATACTACACATCATCAAGGGAAATACAATACTTTTCAAAATATTTAATTGTAATATTCTGGATGAGTTAGAACAATCTGTTTTGCTAAAGAGCTTACTATTATATGTTAGGTGACCTGGTACTGCATGGCAGCAAAAGGAAGTGGTGAGTAGTCCCTAACAGCAACAGTTATGTGGAGGTTATAAGATTTTCTATGGAAGTAATCTTGCCTAAAAGATTTTTTTAAAGGGAACTTATAGTGTACTATTCTTATTATTCAGGGCCCAACATATTACCAGGAAAAACTGAATTTATTATGAAGGAATATCTATAGTTATCACATGAAAAACACAAAAATTCAATTGTTTTTCCAGAATATATGGTATTTATTTTAAAACTCTGAAATTGCTCATCAATATTGACACTGATCCTTATGGGGGTCATTACATACAACAACATAATATATTATATACATCTTACTTTCACAAAAATTTTACAACAGTTAAAAACAGAAGTGAAAATATCTGAGGAAATGAATACTTCAGAAATAAATACCAGAATCATAAACAAAGTAAATGGTGAACATACTTAACATCGTTATTTAACTTATTCATAAAGTCCCAAGATTCTGGGAAAAATAACTGTCATAATACTGAAATACTCTAAATACAAAACAACTAATACTAATAAACTTTTATTACTGACTAGTTTACACAAATCTAGTACAATAAAGAACATTAGGAGGACCATCCAAGAAATAACATCAGTAAAAAAGAATGTTTAAAATAAAACAGAATCTCATGCTTTTTGTTTAAAGTAAAATACATGCCTGTAAAGGTATGAATGGAAAAGGTTTGGGAATTAGACATTATACTTAGATGACAACTCTAAAGAGGAACAGGATTTGGACATGTCAAAGGATGATGACTTTCACCCAGGTACTCTACATACTTTAGTATTGATTGATGTTTTATTTCCTCTGCAAATGGATTTAAGATGGTTTCCCTTATTTGCAATAACTAGTATATGTCTAGGACAAGCAGAGAAGGTCAAAACTATGTACATATGACCATATAAGATGATGCTAAGCAAAGTGAACCCCAAGATAGGGACACAAGGTTTTATCTTTTTTGCTATTTTTTTTAAATGTACTTATAATGTACTATGTGATATTTTGTTTCTTTTGTATGTTCTTCCCCCATGGTATAACCCGTTTTCACTGTATTTGATTCCAGTGGCCTGAATCTTGTATATACATTTTTCTAATTTGGGAAGGAGGAAGGGAAATAACAAAATGCTGAAATAAGGATACAGATTGACCCATTGTAACAATGAGATGTACAAGATGCTATGTTGAAAATGAACTTAACAACTGGGGTGGGGGGGGGGGAGAGGTTGGGGAAGGGAGAGAAGGGACCGTAGGGGAAAAACAAAGGAGGGGGCAACAATGCTCAATAGGAAATGGACTCATTACCTTATTCATGTAACTGTAACCCCTCTGTACAGTATCTTTACAATAAAAATATATATTATAAAAATGATTACTTGAATAATTTAAAAGAAATTACAATACTAGAAGTCATGCCTAACATTTTTAAAATATGGACTAATACTATACTTCAATAGTGATTTTAACATACCCACTGACAAATTTTTTTAAATGAAGTTAACATTTTGCTTAAGTTTTGTCTAAACTGTTTATATTTCCAAATAGTAAAAAAAAAATTTGCTTTAGAAAAATTGTCAAATAACTTTGGTTATTATCACTTGAGATAATTTACTGTTGCCCTTTTAAACTAACAAATTTAAGAATATCAAATGTAGCAGAAAACAACAAAACAGTTTCTATCTTTTTTTTGTGTGTATGCCAATCCTGAGGCTTGAACTCAGGGTCTGGGCACTGTCCCTGAGCTTCTTTTGCTCAAGGCTAGCACTCTACCACTAAGCCACATTCCAGCCCTACTTAAAATTGGCATGTTATATCAATCTAGATAGCAGGGTCATGTCCAGTCACAGATTAATTATTAGAGCCAATACTTATATTTCCTGAAATTCTCTCAAGATTTTGCTGCTCACTAAATGCAGGCTTTTAAGGGAATGTTAAAAAAAGGAATAAATTTTAAAAATCATATATATATATATATACATATAAACTCTGAATGTTGTATAAATACGAAGTCTAAAATGTTAGGAAAGAATGCATCTAGCCAGGAGCTGGTAGCTCACGCCTGTAATCTTATCTACTCAGGAGGCTGAGATCTGAGGATCATAGTTCAAAGCCAGCCCAAGTAGGAAAGTCTGTGAGACTCTTATCTCAATAAACCACTCAGAAAACTGGAAGTGGCACTGTGGCTCAAGTGGTAGAGCACTAACCTTGAGCTGAAGAGCTGAGAGACAGCGCCCAGGCCCAGAATTCAAGCCCACACCCAACCAAAAAACAAAAACAAAAAACAAAACCCAAGCATGTAGGAAATCATTTTAATGCTTTGAAATTTTGTTTCTTCAGAATTCTAAAATTCTTTTGGGATATTTAAGATTTGGGCATTTACCTCTAAATATTAAAGTAAGATTAATATTTGAATACTGTGATTTTACAACCAATTTCAAATAATAGCATGCTCAAGAAAAACAATAAAAATAAATTAAAAAACATATCATTCTGCTATACTGGTCTTCAAAATTCTACTTGTTTTTTTTTTGGGGGGGTCTGGTCGTGGGGCCTGAACTCTGGGCCCGGGTGCTGTCCCTTAGCTCTTCAGCTCAAGGCTAGCGCTCTACCACTTGAGCCACAGCGCCACTTCCCGCTTTTTTCTTTTTTTCTTTTGTGGTGCTGAGGAATCGAACCCAGGGCCTCAGGTATGCAAGGCAAGCGCTCTACCACTGAGCCACCTTCCCAGCCCCAATTCTACTTCATAATATGGAAAAAGTTTTTAAAAAAGTGAAAGTGATTCAGTAGTATTAAACAACTAATCTGTGTAGGTAGTTGGGGGAAAAGGGCCTAATACTTTGTGGAAAGCTGGATTTGTCACCAAATGGCAAAATCACCAAGTGGTTATTGGACATTTTGGTTTTCAATTTTCTCATCTGAAAAACAATAGGGATGGCTTAAAAGGTCTCTTCCAATTTTAAATCCTCTGATTCTAGGAACTCAGACCACAAAAGATGTTATGAAAATACATGATTACAAAGGCCACATAATAAAAATATGGTAAAGAAAGTATTTCATAATAAAGGTGAGGCTTCCTTACCATACACACACTACATGTATACCTAATCATGAAAATACAATTTGAGAGAACTTTAAACATTATTCTTAATGAAAAGTCTTCTCCTCCTCCCCTCTCTCTGCCCCCAATAGTAGAGAGTTGTCTCTGAGCTCTTTTTGCTCAGGGCTAGCACTCTACCACTTTGAACCACAGCATTACTTCTGGTTTTTTGATGGTTAATTGGAAACAAAAGTTCCACATACTTTTCTGCTTGGGCTGGCTTTTGGGCTGGCTTTGAACCATGATCCTCAGCTCTCAGCCTCCTAAGTAGCTAGGATTACAGGTGTGAGCCACCAGCGTCTGGCAAGACTCCATTGCACATGGTAATTGTCATTTCTTACTTATTACATTATTCTAGTGATAGTTACTGTGTAGTTTCTAAATCTTCAGAGAATAAGGCAGTTTTCCCCTTTCATCTAATGATGTTTCCCAAAAGTAAAGGGTGTATCTCTTTTGTGCCCTATCCCTAGTAAAGATAATGGAAAATACTAAAAAGCTGAAGACTTACTTTAGGTAAACACTAAAGTGTCAAATGAGTGTTCTCATAAGTCAGGAGAGTAGGAGAATTCAAAGAGGCATCAGAAATGAATACAGTATTAATAATTTTGCAGAAGAGTACTTTTTCTGGTAAGAAAAAGGCTATAAGCAAAGGCTTGAGCTATATAGGCCTTTAGAGAAATGTACAAAGTCAGTACCTGGTATCTAACTTTGTACAGAAATGAAGGAAAAGAAGCCAGTAACACATAAAAGGATTACTGTAAAGCAAAAGGCACCATAGAATGGTATTAGCTGGGTGCTGGTGGCTAATATCTGTTACTGTAGCTACTCAGGAGGTGGAGATCCAAAGGATAGTAATTCAAAGCTAGTCTGAACATAAAAGTCTGAGAGACTTCATCTCAAATCCAATAGCTAAAACACTGGGCTATAGGTTTGGCTTAAGTAACATAAAATGCCAGCTGTGAGTAAGCAAGCAAGTTGAGGGAGTTTAAGCGTGGAATTCAAGCCCAGGAACAAAGAAAAAGATATTGCTTAATGTAAATTATTGTTTTTTTAAAATGAAATGTTCTTTGCTTTTATTTTATATAGAAATAAATCAAGGGATATTTAACCACAACTAAATAATCCATTTTATTAACCCATCTTACCAACAGTAAAGTCTTAAATTTTATCAATTTT